CGTCTGCAAGTTCGCTTAGGTGCGCGCGGCAGGACTTTCTGCACAGCTCCGCTTCCGAAGATGCACGAGTTCAAAGCGACTCTAGCCGAACGTGCACGTCTGTGCCAGCATTTGTGTGAAACAGAAGCAGTTTGATGTTAAGTTCAGTCACACACACAGATCACGTTGCGGCCGCACTCAGACATTAAGGAACTAACTTTTTAGCGATGCCCCACAGTTTTTATCAACTAAATAGCTTAATCGCTCAAGAGCTACATTATCTTTTTCAACAAGGAGCCAGTTGTGTTCCTCTGCGGCCAGATTAAACCTTGTTGTAGCCTATATATGCTCTACTCATTCATTTTTAGAAACCTCGCACTTTTCCACTAAATTTTAAACGTTGTAAAATTTTAAACAAATTAAGCGCGGTCCACTGCTGCACACGTGCCACAATATCGATACAGGGCCAGCTGTATCGATGCTCGTATCGTCAAATCTCTGTGACGATACATCGTCGTATCAATATTTTGAACACAGCTCTAACAGGCACCCTGTATTACACACTGCTGCTGCTCACGTTTACAGAAATATTATTGTTGCTTTTGTTTTGTTTTATTATAGAGTTAATTTTGTATTAATAAAGCTCTTCTCCTTTCAGCCTAAATGTGTTTGCGTGTGTCCCTGGTTTTGTTGCTTCCCTTTGAACCAGGGGTCATAACAATAGGCAGTCGGCCCGTCTGTTTTGGTGGGCTGAAATGCCATAGGTTTGTGCAGCTGCACAAACTTGAACAAATCAGGCTTCAGTATTAGGAGGAAAACAGATTTTGCCCCAAGCATCATAAACTCAACGTGAGAAACAGTTTTGATAGGGAACTCTTATTTATATTGTGTCCACACTATCTTTGTTATAATGAGAGGATATGTGAGTGTGTAGAATGCAGTCAGTAACCTTGTGGCAAGATATTGAGCTCATTCTAACTAAACTACAGTAAATATTTCTGATTAGTCATTGCTTTCAACATGCCTGTAATTAGATAAAAAACTCAACACTGCAAAAACACAAAAACCAGAGCGTGCACATAAATACCATCCTCCCACCCACAAATCACACAACTGACCAACTTTGAATTCAAAACTTAAGTTCTATGAGTATGTCAAATAATGTTTTCAAATATACAAAATTAATTTTGTGTAAAACGTGTTTGGTTGTTTAGAGATCGACCGATATATCGATTTACCAATATTTTTTCCCAATATTTATCGGATATCGGTTTTGTCATATCGGATTTACTGATAAACACCGCCATCTTGTGGGTGTTTTGAGAATTGCGCGCAGGATCGCCATTGCAGTGCGTCTGAGGGGAGAGGAGTCAACGGCGTGCACAGGTAAAGTATATTACTTGCTTTGCTGTAATATAAATGCCTGATATGTAGTTTATGCTTGGCTCTAAGAAATAGAGACGAAATCACGGAGTCACGTAAGATAATCCGTCAAGTCCTGTCCCAATAAAGACGTAACTTTGCCTAAATTAATTATATACAGTCAAGAATGAGTGCATGTTGGAAATAAAAGCACTGAATTTAATTCTCTCTCTCTTGTCTATATGCTCATTAGTCTCGTGAAGTCACTTTCATATTGCTCTTCACTCATTGGGCTGATGTTCAGGAAATGCTCCAGCACGGACACTGCATGTAACTTTTAACAAGATTCACTTGTTTAAAACACGGTAATTATACAAACATTTACTATATAACCATTATTTCACTAATACACATCTAAATAAATACAACTCTATGGAAATTAATTATTTATTATCACCGTGAGCGATCGCAGTTTGAGTATAGTTCTGTGTAAATGCATTGACAAACAGAGCTTTGTCAGCAGGCATTTCATAATCTAGAACGACAAAAACATTATTAATAATTCAGTTGAGAAATGCAATAAAATACAATGTTTTGTTTGTTATATTCCAGAGAATATTATTCAATTAATTAACATTATCCAGCGAATTATTCTTCACTCTTTAGCCTATTAAACTGCTTATAAACCTACTAAAACTAGTTTAAAATAAAGTATTATATTTCTGCAAAGTTGATATGACTCCTGTCTTTAATTTATTTTTTCCATTTGAAAATATTAGACACTCTACATATATTTTGCTTATTGTTAATATTAGTGTTGCTGCTGATGCTTTTTATTCATAAAATATTTTCATTGTTGTAATATGAAGACTAAATTTAACATGAAAGACTGCTAATTTTCAACACTTTTTTTAAAAGATGACTGAAAGGAGAAAACAAAAAACAAAGTGAAGTATGGACTTACTTCACTCAGTCATTGCCAGGACTGGCAGTTTGCAAAGAATGCCAAATGGGGTCAAAATCTAAAACAACAAAAAATACCTCCAACCTGTGGACCCACCTAAAGATATACATCACTCAACTATCTTTGAAGAGGCAAAGAAAAAAAAGGATGCTGGAGAGGAAAATACTGGTACATCAAGCCACATTCAAGCTTCTCTTCCTATGATGTTTGATAAGCAGACAAAGTGGAAGACTAAAAAAAAACTAGACAGGATGATTACAGACATTTGGCCTTTCAACTTTGGTTGCAAATAAAGGCTTCCAGAGACTCATGGCTACTGCAGAACCAAGATAAACAAGATAAAAGTGAGAAGTTCTACCTAACAGAGGTGTTCTCCAGTATTCACAATAGTATCATTGAGAATGTTAAAGCACTGCTAAAACCTGATAAAGCAGATTATAACTTGGCTTTTACCACAGACTGCTGGTCTGGTACAACTAGGGATGGGTACCGAAACCCGGTATTTAATCGGTCCCGGGGCTAAATTATGAAAGACCGGAGTATCGATAAGCTCTGACGTTAACGGTTCTGCTATCGGTTAATAAAACGAATAAAACTTAATAAAACTTATTAGAAATTAATAAAACACACATATTTATTATTGCTATATATACATTATCTTGCTAATTCTATCTCACCAGAGTCACCAGCTGTTTTTCAAACATTTGTCTATGATGCATTTTTGCTATTCACAATTCAGAAGCGAGATCGCGCCCACGCGGAGGAGCTTCAGCACGCGCAACATGAAAGCCCTGTTTAATTATGATAGAAGAGAGAACTAAACATTCAAACATCTGCTTACACTTTAGGCCTGTGGCGGTTTTAAGCTAATTTTATTTTTTTATTTCGATTTTGGCTTCTAAGGATTATACAAAAGAAGACATGAGGTAAAGCTAATAATAACTAGCTGCGTTTCGTATTGCTCAACTTCTTTCCCTTCACAGCGGTGCACATTTGTTCCTCCCTAAAACCCAAACTTAACGTCAGAATCAGCTCAATCGGTGATTGTTGTAAGATGCCGTCTTTACTGTTGACATGTTTGATAATAAAATGTTGAAAGCACAATCCGCACAAGAGACACTGTTCCTCAGGCTGAAATGCAACTGAATCCCAAGTGAGTATCACATGCCATTTCATTGATGACCAGTGGATTCGCAGACAAGTAATTCTAAACACAAAAGCAATGATTAGATCACACACTGGGGAGTACATTAGTGAGATGTTCTTTGGAATGCTGGAAGAATGGGAAATTGACAAAGACAGAGTGGTTCTTGTTCACAGGACAGTGGTGCTAACATTGTTAAAGGTATTAGAATGGATGAACTGCCTGACATGAGCGACAGTGCCCACGTATTACAGCTTGTTGTCAACGACGGCCTCAACTCACAAAGAGCTGTCCATAATATTCTGTCAGTGCTGAGAAGCTGTGCTACCCATTTTAATCATTCATTACCAGCCAAACAGCGTTTAGCAGTGAGCCAAGCAGGACCTTGGGCTACCTGCACATTCCATCATTCAGGCTGTGCCAACCTGATGGAATTCCACCTTGCACATGCAAAAAGGGCTTTGAACATATATGCTAGTGAGCATGGTGGGTTCACTAGCCTGAGTGCTGAGCAGTGGAATATTGTCAGTAATCTTATTAACACCCTTTCTCCAGTGGAAGAGGTCACTCTTGAGATGAGCCACTACGAAAGTTCAGCATCATCCATCATCCAATCTGTCAAAGTTCTGAAGATGTTGCTCAGCAGCCAAGAGTCCCTCCTCTCATGGGATTAAAACAATGAGACAGGAGATGCTGGAGAGTCTCACCAGACGGTTTGGAAAAGTGGAGGAGGTGAAATGTGCAGTCCTTGCCTGTCTTCTTTTTTTTGCACTTTCAGACCCCTCTATTTTTGGTGTATAAATAAGATTTGTTTTGTTTTCTATGCAAGGAGGGAGTGATTGTTATAAATAAAATGGTTTGTTCAGTTCAGTGGTGTTGTAATCACTGTCAAAAACAGAAGTATAACAGAAAAAAAAATCGGTTCTGCATATCGGTTATCGGGCACATAAACACGCAAATAACTGGTATCGTATCGGTTATAAAAAAATCAATATTGGTCGATCACTAGTCTTTTCCCGCTATATTCCAAGTCATACAGTATAATGACTGATTATCATTGAATAACACCATAAAAAACAAAGAAACACACAATGTTAAATAACTAATGACTGATTTAAATTTTTTGGTGAATTGATCCTTTAAAGTCCACATGAAATGAAAATTCACTTGATTTTCTAAATTCATATTACTTGCATTTAATTTTTTCATTTTGACCTTGCAAACGCATATTAAAAATGTCATAACTGAATCTTCTTGTGAAATTACTTCTATCTGGTGACATATGCAGGACTTCTCCAATAGTCTGCTCCTGCAAGCTTGCATTTATCTGACTTTACTTTTGAGTTCATTGCTCACATCTCAAAATCCAATCAACAACGTAAAATGTAATGCGTAAAAATCTTCCATTAAAAAACTCTCAGCCATTTTCTCCAATAACCTGTTGCACTCAGATGTATGACACAATATGGACAGATCTGTATAATAATAATAATAATAACAACAACAATAAGTACAGATCTGAAGGGTGGCTTTATAGAGGGGAAACAATACCTTCTTTAGCAGCAAAAGCCTGACTGTCATTGATAACTTTCTGGAACTCAGGGTTGTAGCGGGTTCCCTCTGGAAAGATGACAAGATACATCTGTACAGAAAACAAACAGTTGAAGAGTCATAAAACTGCAGCACTTACTAATGTTAGTAAATTATAAGTCTACCACAGGGACAGTGATAGATTCTAAGGTAGGCATTTCTCAGTTCTGTCATGGAGTGACAATACAAAACTTTGGAATATCAAATATGAGGAGCGACACAGAATCCTATTATCCCCCTTGCTGATGAAAGAGAAAGGGCTTAACTCCAACCCACAGTATGATAGGAACATTACAGCTGGATAGCTCAAATAGTGTCATGGGAAAACATCTTTTAGCCCCAAAAAATGACATACAGGCACAGAGATAAGCAGAGAGCACTTTTTTTTTACATCTGGAAAATGTATAATGTCTGGAAAAATAACCTTTTTTTTTTTAACCAAAATTATATAATAAAAATATTTAAATTCAATAAATACACAACGGTTCATTTAAATTTATAAAGTATTTTATTTCCCTGTAACTATGTGGCTCCATTCTGGTATTGTATGTAACACCCACTGTGGTAACGCAATTTTTTCTCATCACTACTTTCAGTGCTTGGGCACTAATAATCTTAAGGAAAACAATAGGGTTCCTTCACATTTTCCATTTCAAAATGACAAACATTTCCAGACTCAAATTTTCAGACTTCTCTGTAGATTTGTCAGACCATATTTCATAGTGAAAAACAAATTAAGCGTAACAATTACAGGTTCAAATTGAAAAAAACAGACCTGCCAACCTTGGAATTTTTTTTTTTGAGTACCATCAGCATGACCGGTGGTGGGGGTTCCTAGATAGATACATTATTACCTGAAGTTCCTTGATGGCTAACGTCAAAATCGTAATTGCACAATGTGCAAAGTGCAATATTTAATGTTAAATATTTTTCATAGGTTAATACTCCGGGTCTGTACTCAGTTTGTGATATTCCAGTTATACAGTACTTTAGCATAAACACAGTTCAATAAATACCTTGTTTTTAACCACGTTTTTCGGTTTGGTTCTGATGGTTTGGAACATCAAGATTCTTTTTTTGCGGTTTAAAATACTATAAAAAAAACAAACAAACAAAAAAAACCTCCAGTACACTTCTGTACACTGTAGAAAAACAAGGATTATCATGTGTTTACTTCAAATTTCATTAGAGAGAAGTATTATTTTTACGGATTAGCCATTATTATGCGCTATAAACACATGTAATGTCTGTTTAATTCATACTGGATGCCTGAGGGCGCCCTCACGCAGAAACTCATGATGCTCCAGGAAATCCCTAATATGGACAAAAGGATCCTATCACTGTAACTGAATAAAAGAAGATTTGAATGATGACATTCAAAAAGAACATTAAAACAATAAATACTCTACTGCGACAATGTATAGTTTATCTGGTTCTTAAAACCACCTCGGGATTTTCATCATAATCAAGTATATTTATAATCCACTGTTAATCAACATAGCCTGTATTACAGCAGAGAATATATATTTCTGCATCATTCTGAGATAAGAAGCCACATCAGTTCATAAAAGGAAGTTATTTCAAACATTTGTCTGATGTTGTAGAGTAAAAGCATGTTATAATGTTCTCTTTTGTTTGACAACAGGATTAGAAATGCTTCGCATTACAAGTCATTACAAGGGAAGATGCTTTTTCAGATGCATGTTATAAGCGGGGACTGGGGAGGCATGTCCTCATCTCAGTCCACAAACTCACGGACACACAAACAGCCAGTTTGGAGAGAAATAAAATGCACTGAAATTATTTAAACACAAAACCGAAAGAAAAAAACAAAAACACTGATTGTTTGAACTCTTCATCTTTTTCTGTTGCTTGTTTTGAGTTCTGCGCGTGGACAGACGCATCGTCAGGTTTTTGCGTAGTTTAGAGTGATAAATCGTACCAGCATTCTTTGAGGTCAAAATGTGTACTTGCTACGCAAAATGCAACAGATTGGCAGGTCTGCAAAAATGAATTCACAATTTGAAATTAGCACAATACTACAAATGTACCAGTAAACCAGTAAAAATTCACTTGGTACCATAGCAAAAACTACTGGAACTATTTAATTATTTGAAAAAAAAAAAAAAAAAGAGAACAAACAAACAAGTTTAGTTTATTATTAATGCTAATAATACTACGACTACTAATAAAAAAATAATACATTAAACAGCATGTAGCCTTCAAATTTTTTTAATTAAATAAACATTGCTTTAAAAAGGTCAAATGAAAAGTTAGTAATAAAATTAACAACAAAAAACAAACAAACATTATATTCAACAAGTGGCAAGTCTATTAGTCGGCACTCCAAGATCAATTTTGACATTTAAAATTTTTTTTTGTCCTATCTATTTCTATGGTTATCACTGTAACAACCATCACAATTTCAGATTCAGTTCCGAATTTAAATATTTCGCACTATTGCGAAAATTCTTGTTATAATCAGTGAAGATCAGTGCACAATGAATTTATTATTTACAACATCTTTACATTTTTTTTTGGTTATAATGAAAAAATGCATGAGCATACAGAGCTTTAAAGCATGCTGAATAAAACTCCTGCATTTCAAGTGGTATCTCACTAACTTGAACACATCTGACTGGTCATTTTGTTCACATGCTCAACAGACATGTCTGTGATTGGGTACAATTCTCAATGCTGCAAACACTTTACAAATAGAAACCTTTGATACTCTTCACAGAGCACTTACTCAAATATGCACAGGCAGCAGCTGTCCCTGCATAATGGGTGGTATCGTTACCCATTTAAAATATCTGGTAACACTTTAAAAAATATATATATATTTTTTTTAACTCTTTCCCCTCGAGTGTTTAAAAAAAAATAAAAAAATTGCCAGCCACCACTAGCCTTTTTGATAATTTTCATGGCCCCCCAGAATATTTTGTTGTATGGATATCGGAACATGCAATACATCGAAATAAAGAACAGAGCCTTTACTTAAAAATAAAATAAACAAAAATAAATAACAAAATTTGTTTTATTCTAGCTTCAAGCATTCTTTATTTTAATCAACACTTGAATGTAGGTAAGTTTCATAAAAAAAAAGCAACATTTGAGCAAAAAACTGAGAAAATCATATTTTTATCAAATACTACTTCTGGTTCCTGTCTGCCACTCTGCTGAGTGGTTTGCGATTGTAGCTCCGTGTAGCTTCGCTTTTCTGTTGAATCTCTATCTATCACTCTCTGTTGTTTAAAGTGATAAAATATAACTTAATTCCCACCATATTTCTGATATTATTCATCAAACTAATCCGACTAATTTGATCGTTTGCTTTTAATCTAAAACCACGAGTGCAGCGCATTAGCATTCCGTTAGCCGGTTAGCTTGCCATTCGCATTTCTATTCGCGTCTACAGTCATGGCCAAAAGTTTTGGCAGTGACATAAATTTTGTATTTTGCAAAGTTTGCTGCTTCAGTATTTGTAGATTATTTTTCCACATGTTTCTATGGTATACTGAAAAACAATGATAAGCATATAATAAGTTTTAAGGCTTTTATTGGCAAAAAAATATATTGAGTCAATATTTACAGCGTTGACCCTTGTTCATAACCTCTGCAATTCGCTCTGGCATGCTGGATATTAGCTTCTGGGCCAAATTCTGACTGATTGTGATCTATTCTTGCCTTATTAGTTGTCGGAGTTGTGGGCTTCTGCTTGTCCACTCGCCTTTTGAGGACTGACCACAGGTTCTCTATGGGATTGAGATCCGGGGAGATGCCTGGCCACGGATCCAAAATTTCAATGTAATGATCTTCGAGCCACTTCTTTATCACTCTTGCTTTGTGACATAAGTGACTTTATAAGTGACGTGACATGTGGCCAAGTATGGTGACCCATACTCGGAATTAGTGCTCTGCAAATTGCTCATGGATCGTTGGAAGTAGTCGCTCTTGTAGGAAGTTTTGATACCATCCTTTATTCAATGTAGTGTTTTTGGGCAGAATTATGAGAGAGCCCACTCCCTTGGTTGCAAAGCAACCCCACACATGGATGGTCTCAGGATGCTTCACTGTTGGCACAACACAGGACTCATGGTAGCGTTCACCTTTTCTTCTCCGAACAATCGATTTTCCAGATGTCCCAAACAATCAGAAGGGAGCTTCATCTGAGAAAATAACTTTGGACCAGTCTTCTGCTGTCCAATCCTTGTACTTCCGGCAGAATTTCAGTCTGTCCTAGCCCTTTTTCTTGGAGAGAAGTGGCTTCTTTGCTGCCCTTCTTGACACCAGGCCGTTGTCCAAAAGTCTTGGCCTCACTGCGCGTGCAGATGCACTCACACCAACCAACTGCCATTCCTGAGCAAGCTCTGCACTGCTGGTGACACGATTTCGTAGCTGACTTCTCAGGAGGAGACGGTCCTGGCGCTTGCTGGACACTCTGGGACGTCGTGAAGACTTCTTCACTGCAGTCGAACCTCTCTCCTTGAAGTTCATGATGATCCGGTAAATGGTTCTTTAAGGGTCAATATTCTTTGTAGCAATTTCCTTGCATGTGAGGCCATTTTGATGCAAAGCGATGATGGCTGCACGTGTTTCTTTGGAGGTAAACATTGCTAACAAGAACACAATAATTGGAAGCACTTCTTCCCTCCTTTTATAGCAATCAGTCTGCTCTTAAAATCTAATTAGTACGATAGTGATTTTAACCTGAATAGTTTTCATTCACACTTTCACATGTGCTGCTGATATGATTAGTCAATTAATGTTAGCTGGTCATTTTGTGTCAGGATCAAAACTTTTTTTTTTTGTGAAAAGTTCATTTTTTTGGCCAATGAAGCTTTTAGCAATTATTTAAAATGCATCTGATCACTCTACACAATAATCTAGAAACAATGTGAATGAACACCACAACAGCTTAAGCAGCAAACTTTGAAAAACACAACATTTATGCCACTGCCAAAACTTTTGGCCATGACTGTACTACTAAAGTTCCGTTTTCTTTTTTCCCCTCGCTCCGTTTCTTTCCCCCCAGCTCCGTTTTTCACGAGT